ATTGCCCATTACAATGCTAAACCTGTTTCCTCTTGTTCTAGCACTGCCTTAAGCACCCTGAAATATTAATCTGGGTTTACTTTTTCAATACCTTTCAATTTTTATACATCTCTTTGAGGTCCCCTCAACTAAAGCAGTCAATTCACTTTATAGTATATTCTGTGAAGCGCTTTGAGACGTCTAGAAGATGTGAAAAGCGCTATATCAAATGCAAGGATTATTATTATTAAGCTCCCGAGCTTGCCTAATTATTGCTCAACGCTCATTCCTCTAATACGAAGGATCATTCTCATCATTTTCTTCACAATTTCAATCCTATGCTCAGTTAGATTACAAAGTTTGTTTTGATTCGCTGCAGTTTTTGTGGCAAAACTCAATTTTCAAGAGGCAAATCCACCAGTCCTCACCCTTCACTCTTATCACTGCTCGTGTGCACTGCTTGCACTACACTAACAGAAGCTAATAAAGTCTTCAGTCACCACCTCCTTGTTCTCTGGAACTTTCTTCTAAATTCCCTTTGCTTTTCTACTTTTCTCCAGGCTTTTAAAAACTTCTTGAAGATAATGTTTTCTCTTGCCTTGGTTTACCTCTAAATTGTTCCAACTTTTTCTATGGTATCCCCTAAATTTAGCAATAAGCAATTGAGGAACAATTGAGGTTTCCTTTATACAAATAGATATACTGTATATAAATATACATTTTTTGTTTCTTCTTCATTTGCTTCACATTGGTTGTGGTAAAACTCAGCTAACTGTAGCCCATATTAAGTCCAAAAATTAATATTGAAAAGTTTCTCAATTTAAAAGTTCTGTGTGGCTCATTAGATAATTCTTAAGACTTCCTAAAACTTTTAGAGAAATGGCTTTACATGTGAATATCTCAAAAATAGCCCTGCATTTGGCACCTAGAGTAGTCACTCACACATTATATTGCAAATTCGCAAAGCTTTTTTTTAATAAAAAAACTGATTTGGAGCTTGTAATTCAATTGTGGAAATCGAAATCATTTCATCAGCTGCTCTACAATTAATTTGTATGTATAATATAACTTGAGTACAAGACTGAGGAGTCAGCTAGGGGAAAAAGTTTCACTTTTTAAACACCCAGTATAAACAGCACTTAGAGGTACAATAGAGTATAAAGCTTCCTTTATGCTATCCCAACCATGGGTCTTTAGTGACATCTACAGCAGTCCATTTCCCATCTGTCTCTGCAAAGTAACAGCTCAATGGAGAACAAGCAGCTAGCCCACAACTAGCCTATCTGGAGACCTTGACGTTTCATAGCCAATGTGCTTCAATGGGATTCGTTTGACCTATGTCACTCCAGCACATCTGTTTCCATTGGCAATGCCGTGTACAGGGTTCCACAGAAAAGTCCTGCCAGGTAAAGATATTTTAAAATATATTCTTTTAAATCAGTGGTGTGTTCTCCAGACAAGTCTCATCGTTGACATATCTTGCACATCTGGGTAACCTCTCCAAAAGAGACAATTTTACTATTGAATTTAGGGAGTTTTGAACTATAGATTCATGTTGATACTGAACTGGCAAAACTCAGTTTGTTTTTGCCAAAATGGGACCATTTATCGCATTTTTAAAAAAATTTAAACTGGATTCAAATCCATGCTCAAGGTGAAAGGCAAATGCTGTCACTCTCTCTGTTGCTCCAGTCACCGAGTTCAACTGAAAAAAACTGCTGAACAGGATTAAACTGCTAAACACAAACTTAATTCTATTTCCACAATCGTATCCTTTCAGAGCTAGTGGCGGAGAATTGAACTCTCATGCAAAGAACCAAAATTCATACTTCCGCCACGATTGACATTAGAACTCAACTCATGTTAATGAATATTGAATAGCTCTGCAGAACACTAGAACCATGTTTAATAATACTTGTATTTGGTATAACACCTTATCAAATCTTCGAGACGTCTCAAAGCACTTCACAGAATATACTGTAAAGTGAATTGACCGAATATTTTGTGGGCAAAACAAGGTACCCAATTGTACACAGTGTGAGGGAATAGGTTTCATTTTCATTAAGTACATCCATAGAAGTCTTACTCAGACCTTAATAAACTTTCTTAATTTAGACAGTTGAAAGTAAAAAAATCCTTTCTACAATATTAATATTTGACAATTAACAATACAAATATTCAAACTAGTAGTTCTATTATTTTCACAATTTTTTGAACTGGAAACTGTATACCCAATTTCTTTTAACACACTTGTATCCTAAATTTAACCTTGATGAAATACAGTGTAGCACTCCAATGCTAAATTTAGATTATCCCTGACTTCTCAGATTACAAGTTCCTCCATTTACAGGAATAAGGACATTACAATATGTTTGCTTCTGAATATGCAGTAGTACCTCAGATGTTAATGTTAATGAAAAGCAACTGTGGCTATAATTATTGTTTGATAGTAATAATAATCCTTGTATTCGATATAGCGCCTTTCACATAGGAAACCCGTCTTAACACGCTTCATTGGGTATATTGTCAAGTGGAGTGTCTACATTTTGCAGTTGAACGCAACAACCAAATTGCAGACAGCAATGTCCCACAACGACCATGAAGTGAATGACCAAATTTATTTGGAGGACTGTTGGCTAGGAAACTGGAGAAACTCTTCTCCAACATCTTAAACGTCCACTTGAACATGCAGATATGTTCTTGGTTTGATGTCTCATCAGAAGGATGGCACCTCCAACAATGCAGCACACCCTTCACTGATGCATTGGTGTGTCCGTATAGAATTCCAAGTTCTGACATAGAAAGTTGTGGGTTCATGCCCTGACTCAGAGACGAGAGTCAACAATTGAGCCAGGCTGACAAAATATACCTCAAATTGTTCTAAGGTACCTCTGATGCATAGTGCAGGCTCAAATTAACATTAATTTGACATTATTCTTCTAGACCAACATAGGTCCAGGTCCATTTAGCAGTGAATTGGTAGAGTTCAGACTTAATAAAAAAAGCTTGAATTTTGATACAGCAACTCATCACCTCTGAAAGCATTTCAAATATACTGTATAGTGAATTTTACTGTACATTTCAAAGCAAAATGTATCACTGCCATTGCTGGTCAATTAATACTAGTAAAGTGTTTTACAAATTAATCTCACTGATGTTCAGTATCAGTACCACTTGCAAATTGATTCTAGATATTTAGCTCAAATATTTCAACATTCTACTTGCCTTTGAAACCACTAAATATATTTTGGTGCCTTACATTATTAAATGCAACTTTCTGCTATTAATCCAATGCTTGGTCTTTTACCTTTTGACAGTATTAAATGCCAGCTTTATCCTCTTTCCTTCAACATCATTCTTGCCAAAAGAATGTGGTAAGATCTACAAACTTAATACCATAAAGGCAAATAGTTTCATTTATAACAACTCTGTGTTACTCTGCTGACTTACACAACTAAAATAAATGAATATAGGAATTAATAATTGGATTATAACCAAATCTTGTTTAATTAAAGGCACAAAGCAGAACTACAGGAAAATTACTTTTCTGTTTTAATTAGTGTAATAACATTTTTGGAATCAAAACTCCACCACAAAACACAAAGAAAAATATGGCAGAAAATGTTCTCATTTAAGTGGATTGCTGTCAATAAATCCATAATGGCAAGTTGAAGAGTGGTCCTTAATGCTGCGTAAAAGCCTGTATTCCCAGATCATCTTATTTATATTGCAATACAACTACTAATGGTCACAGTGAATAATCTGGACTCTCATATCATGGATTCTGGATCTGTAATGCAACAACAAATTGCACTTGTACCTTCCATGTCGGAATGACATCCCAAGGCGATGGACAGTCAAATGTTTGCACCTGAGCTGGGGTTTGGAATCAATGCATTCTTAAGTGCCCTTTAATGAACTCTCTGCAATCCCAGATTATAAAAAAAAAGCTACTAATATAAGAGATGGAGATACACAACACAAATATTTACTTCGAACAATCGTCCGTGCCTTGGATTACTGACCACAAGTAAAGCAGTTAAAGGGCAACTCGTAGCAAGAAGCACCAACAATAAAACTGGTGATAAGGAGACTGCCAAAAAGCAAACAAACTTGTTTTCAAAACTAAAAATACTGACCTCCCCCCCACCCCCCAGGATTCACCATTTCAATGCAAACAAAGCAGAGAGAGGAAACTTCCTCTCTGGGAGGTTGAATGATCCATTTGGAAAACGCTATGGTTTTACTCCGTCGATTATTACGTCGACATCTTAGCAACTGAGGCCTCGGTGGGGGGCACTTTCCAGGTCGTTTCTCGAGGGGCTTTTCAACTTACAATTGTACTTTGGCAGCAAGAGCAGAAGAACATCATCGATGGGGAAAGTTCAGCATTTTGCTGAAACTGTTTAAAGTAGTGGGGGGCTGGAAGCAGGAATTGGGTGGAGGAGGCGGGCAGAAAATGCAGCAATAATTGATGGTATTTCTCAACCGAGCAGGAAGGAGAAAAGCTAAATGTCATCTTGTTGTTTTAACGTTTGCAGCTACTTGTCCATCTTGGGATGAAACGCAAAACCCAATTTTTGCTCTCCCCCTCCCCCCTCCCCCCCGACATCCCGCTCCTTTTAAATAACATTTATCGACGGCTTGAAATAAAACTTACTCGATAGCCGAGGGGTATATTTGGCGCAAGTGAAAACAGGGCTGTGTGTGTGTGTGTGTGTGTGTGGGGGGGGGGGGGACATTCACCAGAACTGTCAACTCATACCGAAGGAGGTAGTGTGTATATGGGGAGAGAGAAGAGGTCATATAAATATAATAAAGGGATATTTCCAGCTCCGAATGTGCGAGTTGGGGGAGAAGAGGGAGACGTAAACAAAATGCGCCCGAGCACCGTCAATATACACAAATGCCTCAGAAAAGGAGGTACATTGGTGAAACTTTACACGGTGAACAGGTGCTCGGGGAGGGAGAGGCTGAGGGAGGGCAGGCGGAGCTGACCAGCCGAGCCAGGCACTGCTCACCTAAATAGGACAAGCGAATTAAACGAGGATCTTCCAGCCCCAGCGACCGCTTCCTCACGTCCCAGACCAGGTTGGTGGATCGGGACATCCTTCCCCGCCGCCGGTTGCCTCTGCCCCGCTACAAGGTACTAAATAACGGATTCAAACGCTCGTCATTTGCTCGCTCGGAGAGGCACAGCTGGAAAAAAAAAAGAGGGACGGGGGGAGGGAGGAATAAATCCAGTGGAAGCGGCGATAAGTACTTTCACATCGTTTTGATTATTATCATTAATGTGGTGCCGACCGCCGTCATGTTCGCTTCTGAGCGAATCGCGAGCCTCGTCCGTCAGCCACAGGCCCGTGACCGCCCAAACATCGCGAGATGTCGTTCAAACAGCAGCAGCTGCAGCCGGTGGAGGAGGAGCTTGTGCCGCCGAGCAACCGAACTCTGCTGACCGATATGGATGACGTTGCTGTTAGCCAACCGAACTCTACTGACCGATATGGATGACGTTGCTGTTAGCCAACCGAACTCTCCTGTGGGATATGCAGCAGAGGAGGCGCTGGAGCGCTCGGCGGGTCCGGCAGCGTCTGCGGAGAAACAAAAGTGAGTCGGCGGTTCGGGTTCGCGACCCTTCGTCAGAACTGGTTCCCAGACCTTTTCACGTTCGCCACGACCTCTTCCCAGAACCGTGATAGGGTCCCCCCCAGCCCTCACCTTCCACCCCACCAGCCTCAACATCCTACAGATAATTCTCCGCCATTTCCGCCACCTCCAGCGTGATCCAACCACCAAACGTATCTTTCCCTCGCCTCTCAGCATTCCAAAGGGACCGTTCCCTATGTGACTCCCTGGTTCATTCCTCCCATCACCACCAACAGTTGCTCTCCTCCCCCCGGCACCTTCCCATGTCAGCGCAGGAGATGCAATAACCTGCCCTTTCACCTCCTCCCATACCACTGTCCAGAGCCCCAAACTCAGTTTTCAAGTGGGACAGCAATTTACGTGCACTACCACCAATGTAGTTTACTGCATTTGCTACTCAATGTGGCCTCTATATTGGGGAGACGAAACGCAGATTGGATGACCGATTTGCCGAACATCTCCATTCTGTCCGCAAGCACAATCCTGAACTTACGGCTTCTTGCCCCTTCAACTCTCCCTCCCACTCGCACTCTGAATTCTCCATCCATGGTCTGCTACACTGTTCCAATGAACCACAGCACAAGCTTGAGGAACAGCACCTCACCTATCTGCTAGGAATCTTACAACCCTCTGGCCTCAATATTGATTTCAATAATTTCAGACCATAACAGCTCACCTTCAGTGGGTGTTCCCTCTCTCCTTGCCCAAAGGCTTTGAGCATTATTGAAATGCTGGAACAGACAAAGTGAATCTTCTATCTATCTTCTTCTATACTAATAAAACAACAATGTCTGTCTGCGCCTCATGAAGGATCTCAATAACTGATTGACATAGAGACATGAGTTATGCCTGTTTGGAAAGGTCGTGCATCTAGGAGTGACATGGGCATATTTGTTTTTGGGTATCTCTTATTGTTTATAAGTTATTTCAGTTTTGCTTTTTTCACTGTAGTTACACCTGGTGGCCAGTCATTTAAAAACACATAACCTTGCCTTGTTCATGCCCCAATAACTAAAAAATGCCATACTAAAAAGATTATAAGTTTTTGATTATAATCTAAAAGTATACTAATTAAAAACCTTAAAAACAGTAAGCATCACAAATATAATCTTACTTAGGTGCAGCTCAGAGGTTTCTGAAATACCCTTCCTGGAATCATAAAGCCATCTAAACTTCAGAACATTGCTTCGTTTACTGTCAATTTCCGATGGAGATATCATTACCAGCTGCCAATGTACAACTCACCCGACTTGTTTACACTCTGCACTATGTCCAGTCAGCAATTGTGCTAAAGGAAGTTGTATAAGTTTCTAAAACTCTCTAGGGAGAGATGAGTCTCTCATGGACTTTAATTTCTGATATCAGAGCATTGCAAACTCTCAGAAGCCAACATTCCCCCCCACCCAAAACAGCTTTGTCATTGTGGCAGTTTGTTCAATCCACATGGTTTCAAGACATCCTCTTTTGGTAATTTAATAGGCATTCATCCAATACACCTGCTAGATTAAATACCAGGTTGTTGGGGCCCTATTAGAGCAACAAGTTCAAAGCGGATCACATGCTTTTAGGAGAGAAGGAAATCAGGAACACATCACCATGTCAGCAAGAGGCAAACCAGTGACCAAGTGTAAACTGGGGACATCTTGCTCCTCTGGAGGCTTGGCCCAGTCTGCATACTGCTGTTGGAAGTGGTCACCACTTCCTGCATTGCGCATATGCCAAGGTGGTCTGGAAAAAGATAGAGTGGCTGCTCTCTTGTTTTGTGCCGGGAGATTCGCAATTATGACACTCGGGGCTGTACAGCTGCTTCCTGGGGACTCACAGAGAGACCCACATTAAATGTGCTTGGAAGGTCATCAATTTGGTGAAGGAGGCCCTTTGGGAGGCGCCATACAAATGTAATTTTGTTGTTGTTGTTGGGACTCCTAAAACCTGATGGTCTCCCAGCAAAGAGATGAGTTGGTAAAGGCCTGTTGCAGACTCGTGCATGCCAGAGTCAGGAAGCGTGCGATGAGGGATGCTCAGAAGCTTGGTTCAGCCGAGGCAAAGGCCAGATGGGGCCTGACCCTGGCTGAAGCATCTCCATGCTTGCGTCAGTGCCACCTCCCCACACAACAGGGTACCTACTCAGTGGGGGTTTAATGTAGGGATTGTAGAGGGATATGCTTGCCTTGGAACCAAAGAGCTTCCCAAAATGTGCTGTGTGCGTGCGTGTATGTATATGTATACAAGTCTCTCCCCCTCAAGTGGGGAGCAGTGGAGTAGGAAATATAGTTCTTGCCATGTGTAAGTGAAGAATGGCAGAACTGGGACTCGCCCTAAAGTGTAACTACTCCCTGTAGATAAAGACAGGAGAACACAGGAGTGAGGAAGCTCTGGTCCCTCCACTTGAGGAGAGTGTGGGACAATAGAGGCTGTCACAAGAAAATAGGTCCTGTTTTGTAATGACATTGAAGCAGTTGTGTTTTTTTTCTATACAGGAGTTTTTTTTCCATGAAGCAAGTGGAATGTATTTTTGTACAATAATTAATATATTTGCTTGGGAAAACAAGAGGACAGGGCCTTTGTAACGGGATTGAAGTGTTTTTGCTTATTTTCTTTTTTCTATCACAGGTGTGGTTTTTCATGAGGAAAGTGGAATATACTTTTCTCTATTTGAATAAATATAACCACCAATGTAAATAAATCAGAATTTTTAATTTTGACCAGTTTAACCACCGAGGATCAGCCACTTGAACGTTCCAAATGTTGAGGTCTCCATGTGAATTGGAGCAAACAATAAAGTATTTGAGGGAATCCAGTCATATCCCAAGTCAGAGGAATTTGGGAAGAAAGTTCAAAGACCCATTATATTGCATTTGGGTAGTTAATCCTCTCTCCTTGCTTTTCTGCAACTGAAAAAATAAAATCTTATACTTTAAAAATGGTAGTGACTAAATATTTTCACAAAATTGTCAAAATACTTGTGTGGCAAAGTCTTTACAGTGGAAATAATAAAAAAATTACATTTGTATAGCGCCTTTCACGTCGGAAAGATGTCCCAAGGTGCTGGACAGCCAGAGTTTCAGATCCGAGCTGGGGGTTGGGATCGGGGAGGGTGGAGGTCAGTGGGGGATGCAGAGAGATCGAAAGCACAGTTTGACAGTACTGGATTGGTACCCGAATGGGGTGGGAGCCCGAGAGGAGGGATGGGAGGGGAAAGAGTCCAAAAAATCATAGTCAAAAAGGTAGGTCTTGAGACGGACAAAGCCAGGCCAACTCACTCACTCAGGTTAAGCCACTTATTACACTAATAGAAATTTACAACCCACTTTGAGCTGGCAGAAAATACAACATTTAGATGACCCTTTGTAACTGAAACCAACATGTCATGATAGAGGTGGATGAGAGCTAACTTTCTTCAGTTGAACATCAACAAAATGTCAACAAGACCAAGGTCCTCCTGATTGGCTACCGTCAACATCTCCACACCTCATTTGACGTCTTGTTTGACCCTCAACTATCTTTTCTAACCCACATCCGTGCCATGACCCTGTCTGCGTTCCCCACCTCTGCAACATTGCCTGGCTCTGCCACTGTCTCACACCACAGGCCACCGAAACCCTCATTCATTACATCCAGGCTTAACTATGCAAATTCCCTGCTTTTCGACCTCCCCAACTCCTCCCTCCATAGGCTGCAGATCATCCAGAACTCTGCAGGCTGTGTCTTCACCTGCACTCAACTCTGTGACCCTATCAACCCCATCCTCATTCAACTCCACTGGCTTACCATGACACAGAGGATACAGTTCGAGATCCTGGTCGTCACCTTCAAAGGTCTCCATGGCCTTGCTCCCCCCTACCTCCGTGACCTCCTCACCCCCTACCAACCTGTCTGCTCGCTCAACTCAGTTGTAGCTATATCAAATGCAAGGATTATTATTATTATTATTATCCAGCCTGCTTCACATGCTCTGCCTCGCCCAGCCCACCATTGGCAGGCGAGCCTTCAGATATTCTGCCCCCATCCTCTGGAACGCCATCCTAAGTCCCTCCGACTTGCCCCCTCGCTTGCCTCCTTCTAGACCCATCTCAAGATACTCTTCGACCGTGATTTTGATTACCCTCCTTACCCCCCTGCCCTCCACCTATCCGATCCCAACCCCGAGTCAATCGAAAACACTGACTGTCCAGCGCCTTGGGACATCCTCCCAACGTGAAACGCGCTATACAAATCCAGTTGCTTTTCTTCTATCACTGAGTGTCTGGTTTTACTTGCAATGCAATGGGAAGATGCTGAGGCCAGACACATTACTAATCATACTGGGAAATTGACAAATCGTTTGATGATATTTGTTGTGTTAATCAAGAACATGTAACAGCGGACAGCACCGGGCCCACTGCAGCCGTGCGGACAGCACCGGGCCCACCGCAGCCGTGCGGACAGCACCGGGCCCACCGCAGCCGCGCGGACAGCACCGGGGCCACCGCAGCCGCGCGGACAGCACCGGGCCCACCGCAGCCGTGCGGACAGCACCGGGCCCACCGCAGCCGTGCGGACAGCACCGGGCCCACCGCAGCCGTGCGGACAGCACCGGGCCCACCGCAGCCGTGCGGACAGCACCGGGGCCACCGCAGCCGTGCGGACAGCACCGGGGCCACCGCAGCCGTGCGGACAGCACCGGGGCCACCGCAGCCGTGCGGACAGCACCGGGGCCACCGCAGCCGTGCGGACAGCACCGGGGCCACCGCAGCTGCGCGGACAGCACTGCGCTCTGCACTGATTGACTGACTGACGGATGTGATTGACGTTGCTGGTAACCAGTCGACTGAAGACCTGCGGTCTGTGCTCCCCGCGAGCCCCGCCCCCAATCGCCAAACACATGGTCGGCCACAAAAAGGGGGCGGGATGGTGACGTTGACGGTTTTCTAACCAATGCGGTCAGACTGTGCGGTTTCACGCACCAACTGGGCGGGTTTTTGTTGTTACTGTGCGTGAAAAGCGGCTTTGGGCGGGAGGGCTCGTGTGTTTTTTTTAAAAAAACATAATTTCAACCTACAAAAGGTTTATTGATCCTCCGTCCCCCTTTGAAGACCTTTGGCCGCGGTTTCGAAAGCGATGAGCTGAACTGGCCGCTCGGCTATCCCAAAGCGGGCAACGCATATCGGGCTACTTTTGGGGCTCGTGTTGGGCGACTTTGGGCTACAGACGTCTTGTAATTTCTGGCAGCGCTGCTTCCCCATTGGAGAGAGTGCGGCCGCCCCTCCGGCCCTGTGCTGCGCTGCTCTCCCTCCCCCCCACTCGCTCTACTCTCCACATCCACCGGCGGGCGGGAGGAGGAGGAGGAGGAGGGACATCTTAACCCCCTCCCCCCCCATCATCATCACCTATCAAACGTCACGTTAATTTCATCCGGAGCGACGCAGAGGACGAAGTTTGAAGGACGCGGGCGGCCGGCGGAGGCGGGGAGAGCGCAGTCAACTCGGTCAGGGCAGGTGTCGGCCGCTCCGCTCGGCGCTGCTCTCGTCAACGCGGCGTTTTATTTCAAACCGAGAAGAAAGATTTGAAGCCGTTTCTCCGCCGCGTCTGTGTCTGTCTGTCTGTCGAACATGGCGGCGAAGGGGCTGCGAGCATCTTACCACAGAGTCATGGACAGGATAGAATTCATGCTGCCGCCTAAAATGAGGCCGTTTTACAATCACCCGGCAGGTACCGGCTCGGCTCGGCTCGGCTCCCGGCGTCGGGTCTGTTTGTGTGGGCAGCTCCGGGGTCACACAGAGGGCACCTTCACGGTGACAGGGCGGCAACGGCCGTCGAGGCTTCACGAGTGCCTGGCGACCTCCAGACGCCAATGGCTGCGCTGTCGCTCGCGGGGCTGTCGGTTTTACGTTAGAGAAGGCGCTGTCCAGGGCCAGGCCAGGCCAGGGCCAGGCCAGGGCAGGGCAGGGCAGCTTGGCTTTCACAAGATTAAACGCACCCAATAAGTAGGGGTTAGTTGTCTCTCTCACTGTGTGTGTGTGCGGGTGCCGGGCAGGGCCGGGCAGGGCTGTGTGTGTGTGTGCGGGTGCCGGGCAGGGCAGGGCTGTGTGTGTGCGGGTGCCGGGCAGGGCTGTGTGTGTGCGGGTGCCGGGCAGGGCTGTGTGTGTGCGGGTGCCGGGCAGGGCTGTGTGTGTGCGGGTGCCGGGCAGGGCTGTGTGTGTGCGGGTGCCGGGCAGGGCTGTGTGTGTGCCGAGCCAGGCAGGGCTGTATGTGTGCGGGTGCCGGGCAGGGCAGGGCCGGGCTGTGTGTGTGTGTGTGTGCGGGTGCCGGGCCGGGCAGGGCTGTGTGTGCGGGTGCCGGGCAGGGCAGGGCCGGGCTGTGTGTGTGTGTGTGTGCGGGTGCCGGGCCGGGCAGGGCCGGGCAGGGCTGTGTGTGCGGGTGCCGGGCAGGGCAGGGCCGGGCAGGGCTGTGTGTTGCTCCCGTTGCTGATCTGGACTCCTGTGATGCGAAATAAAGATCATGTTATGTGCAATTCTTGTCAGTGACGAGTCAGGAGGGCAGATATTGAGAGGATTTCTAAGTGTACATTTTTCCACTCTGCGTACAAGTAGGTTTTGAGAGTGTTTCCCGGGTTACACATAGGCACCTGCGAACTGACGGAGGGACGTACAACAAGGAGTGTTAAGCACTCTGCAAAGGATATTTTTGCTGCTCGAATATTCCCGTAGGGCGAAGTGGGTGGTTGCCAGGGAGGGGAACAAGGGAAGAAGCGTTGAATTGGTTTTCTGTCGGAATAAATTAGGAGCGGTTACACCTCGTGGTTTATGTGCTAATGATCAAAAAAAAATACTGCAGAGACTGGCAATCTGAAATAAGAACAGAAGTCGCTGGGAACACTCAGCAGGTCAGGCAGCATCTATGGAGAGAGGGAAATGAGTTGGCTTTCCTATGACCTTTCGTCAGAACTAATGTTCCAATGATAATTATGGTTGTTTTTATTACGGAATGACAGCAGACCCACTTTTTAGTACAATGTTTGGTAACTGGAGACTGGAATCCATAGATCATTACTTTCTTGAACTTTTTTCAAAAAGTGTAGCTTTAATAATAATAATAATCCTTGCATTTGATATAGCGCTTTTCACGTCGGGAGGACGTCCCAAAGCGCTTCACAGAACACACTGTCAAGTGAATTGACTGTATATTTGTGGGCGAACGCGGCAGCCAATTGCGCACAGCAATGTCCCACAAACAGTCGTAGATTGAAAAATGACCAATTTAATTATTGTTTTTGGTTTTTTGGAGGGATTATTATTAGGCGTGTGGAGTAAGGAAACTTGCCCAAGGTTTTGAGGAATTGTATTGGAGATTAGACGGTGTGGGGCTAAAATCACACCTCCACAGTATGATTTTTAAAAAAATGCACATGCTCTTCTCCCACAACCATCTCTAAATCTGTGTGCTTGTACAAATCTGGATATATGTTTATATGGCTATATATATATTTTAAAAATACTGTGGTAATGCAGCACACACAAGTTCTAAAACACTGAGATGTATGCGATTCCTTGTATTTCAGTTGAGGGATTAGTAGCTGATCTAGAATATTGAACCATGCATAAGGAAATGGGAGAATGCATGCTTTAGAATTTTTTGACAAACTTGTTTCAAAGCTTGCTCTACTTTTTCTGATTTAACTTCTGTTAATCTGAGTTCCTATTGAAGGTGTACTCTGTAAATGGGGCTGCATCAAGTCAGTACTGGTCTCAGAAGTAATTATCAGGCTTTGGTGGTCCCTTATGGTCGGTGAGTAATAGCAGTAGATTTATTGGGGAATTAACGAATGTAGTGTGACTTCAAAGTCCAGTAAATCAAGTGCGGTAAGTCAAGTGAGATAAATACTCACTGTAGTTAAACCTCACTACAGTCAAATGTGGGGTGGGTGGGGGGGTGTTGGGGGTACCTTATAGGAGGTGCCATTCTTCAGATGAGATGTTAAACCAAGGTCCCTTCTGCCTGATCTTGCGGACGTTAAAGATCCCATGGCACTATCTGAAAAGAGAAAAGAGTTTCTCTTGGTATCCTGGGCAACAATCCTCTAGACTAAACCATGTTTGTCATTCACTTCAGGGTTATTTGTGGGACATTTCTACGTGGAAATTGGCTTCCATCCTCTGCAAATATTCTGATCTCTTACCCATTACAGGTAGAGGGTAGCTTACAGACCCCCCTAAGCTCTCTATATTTTCTTCAACCTATGGGTATTATATCAAATGTTATGTATGCAAAATATATGAATTAACAATTAAGATTTCCATTTGATCATATCATTAAATCAATTTGTATATAAACTGAAATCTAACATAGCAGCTAAAATTGATCACTGTCAAAATATTTGTGGTCAGAATACAAGTATGTTTTTGTTTTTTTTTAGTATATGAAAGCATTTGCTACACTATTTGGGTAAAACAAATGTCAGATGTTTACCTGCAAAACCCAAGTATTTTGTTATCTATATCTGTTTTAAATTGTTTCCCAACTGGTTCATTTTGAAATCCAATGGTAGCTTGCAGGATAGAATAAATAAAAGATCTAGTCAATATTTAAAGAGAAGGAATTTAGACGTATTTCATTATTGGTATGCAAAGAATAATCTGTACAACGGTCATCTGAAGCTAGCAAGGTTCTTCAGCAAATAAAATAGATGACATTTCATAAGAAGCTTTAATAATATACAACTTAATTTTCAGATCAACATAAATGATTGTATGAAAATCTATAGTAATAGGTTCATTCTGTGCTGTTGATTTTTGGTATGAATGTGGATCATTTGCTGCTGATTTTGCAGAACTTTTTCACATAGCATTAGCAGCAAAGTAGCTCTTTCTGTGAATGCTCCACTCTTTGTAGAGGATCATTGTAATGTTTTGAAGTCGCAAATGACATGTCACCATTGAAACCACTTCACTGAACTTGCATTGTCACCCAACCACAGAGGTGCCCCTTATTATAATAATAATAATCCTTGCATTTTATAGGGCACTTTTTACTTATCTTATACTTCCCAAGATCTGTTGAGGGGGAAATGCATTTCAGGAGAAATTTCTATAATGACATTACAGTCGAATTTGACTTAAAAGCATTACAGTTGTTCTGATTGTGTTTGACAATTTACCATTTGCTATCAAACACAGAAAACAATAGATTTGAAGTTGTATTGTTATTTGATGTATGACTGCTTTTCCTACTCAGTTAGTACAAAAGTACAGCAGAATGGAACCTCTTTCTTTTTAGAAATTCATATAGACGAGCACTTAAGTTTTCTGTTGGGGGAGAGGAAAAAAACACTTATGGATAAATGTATTTAATGAGTTAGAAAATTGAATCCAAAAAGTTGCATAAGTAGGCTTGCTAGTTATATGACTTCTTTCATATTTGAGTGTGTGTAGCTCATTTCAAATGTTTACAGTAGTATTTTGTTTCCACTGTTGAAAATTACAGCAATTATCTGTAGTAATTACACAATGATATTTAAAAATAACACAATGACCTTGCTTAACCTTCAAAATCTTGTTATTTTATTGTATAACTTTTCCTCTAATAGGTTTCTGTAATCTGTACTGCAAAACAGTGTTAGATTCAAAAATATGTTTGCATTTTTAAACAAAACAGTAAATCCCGCTTTTTTTTTAAAAAAAAAGCATGGTTTAGAGCCACCACCAATAAGGTGGGTACGTGTGTGCACCAATTTGAAATGCATTGCATTCCATTTACATCCTTGGCTCCAAGCTAGTATGACTGTTGCTTAGTACGGTATTGTATATTATAGAGAGGCATATCTAAAATAGCACTATAGCATTTTACAGGCAAATTATGTTAAAAGAACCTATGATCGTCCGATAACTGCAACAAGCTGTTTGCAAGTCAGTCCAATGTCTTCACCCAAAGCAGCTTTTGTGGTAATCCATCACACCTGTTGATTATGCTTTTTGGTGTCTGAATTAAAGTTGTCTGTCACAACCCTTTAGTATAGATTGTTGATTAAACTAGTGCACATTAATTTACCTAATTATTCCCATTAAGAATAGATTTAAATAGTAAGAAATAATTTTCTTTCTAACGGAATGTTCCTACTCATTGGCATCTATTCAGGCCAATAGAAATGTTTTATCAAATTATCTCTAAAATGTAGAACTCTAATTGCAACCTACTCTTCTTATTTTAGGTCCTCGTACAGTGTTTTTCTGGTCACCGATTATGAAATGGGTGAGTATATTGCCTTCCAATTGGGTAACATTGATTAGGTAACGAGGCTGACTCTGATGAATGTTAAGTCAACTATGCATATCTACGGTATTCTATTATCATATGGTGCAATATAATGCCTTTGGTGTCATATTCTTGGAGTCCAGTATATATACATATTTTAGGAATGATGTATCTGGAAACTTAACATTTTATTAAATAAATAAATGCGAGATTTTAGATTTATTGTTCATCTTTTTTAGGAAACAGCAAATCCAAGATTCTAGTTTTCTGAAATTCTATCCTTTCAAGTACTGTATCTAATTCTAGTTCTCATATTTCTGAGTAGTGAGCACACAGTGCCTTGAGACTTCCTCCTGACATACAAATGTACTATTGTATTGTAAGGTTACTTGGTATGTTCAATCTACATTGGGTCCTAATTGAAATCTGGATCTCTAACCATCTCCAATCACTTGCAAATCATGAATTTGAACATATCCTTGTTGGTCAAAGGAGAAATAAAAGTATTTTTTCTGAAAAAGAAATAAATTAATTTGGTCTTATAGTGCTGTATATAATAACAATAAACGTCCTATGATATCACCACAGTATATGTTCATTCAAACACAAATATACAGTCAATTCACTTTACAGTGTGTTCTGTGAAGCGCTTTGGGACATCCTCCTGATGTGAAAAGCGCTACATCAAATGCAAGGATTATTATTATTATTAATAGATGCATTTGTTAGTGGCAACACAGCTGAGATCAGAGTTTAGGGTAAATATACTTGATTGCCAACTTTGTCTTCAGTTTCAGATCTGATCATATAATTTTTTAAAAAACTTTGGAAGTACTGCTTTTTGAGGTTGAGAAGTAAAGTTGCCTTGTGAGCTACCAACTGTGAAATAGAATTGTTTCCAAAATGTCAACTTTCAATATACAATAATGTTCTGTTTGCTTATTGCATGCTGTGATATACTCTGAACTCAGTTAAGACATTCAGTTAACAATGTAATCAATTGAATTTCTCTTAAGTCTTATTTGCAGCATAATTACATCAGTGTTCTTCATCTACTTTTACTTTTTTGGTGTAATTGCTTCCGAATTTCACATTTATATATAAAAACTATTTTCTGGATCACTATGCAAACAGAATTTAGTCACAACCTGCAGAAAATTTTGGAAGCAATAAGAATTATTGTTGCTTCACATTGGAAGACTCTTGTCTTATACCTGCTGTACCTGTTGCAGCTACGCTCGCAACCGAAGGATCCAATATGGAATGTAGATTGACACACAGACAGACATTTCACCTTTATTCTTATCTAGGAAGACTCCTGTGGGAGGACTGCTTTTGGGAGGACTCAGTGGGAGGATATGGCGCTTTAAAAATTTTATTTTGTTGTTGTTGCCGTGGCTCAGGTACGTGCTGTGTTCTTTATTTTGTTCCCGCCACTTGGCTACATGTGTGCTCTGTGGCGCAGGATGCCACAGTGCTACGGTCAGCCGGCGTGGCCACCAGGTGAACTGCAATGTGTGCGTACATACGCACGTGCTGTGACATACAATGTCGCAGCACCACTTCAACTCAGCCACCGCCAGGTGCAACTGCAGCGAAAAGTGCAAACTGAAAATAACTCATGAATGATAGGAGATACCCGAAAACAAATATGCTCTTGTCACTCCCAGATGCAAGACCTTTTCAATGAAGTATAAATCATGTCTCTCGGTTATTGAGATCCTTCTTGAAGAGCAGACAGACATTGACGTTTTATTAGTATATATATATATATATGCACAAGAAGATAGAAGAAAATAACTAACCTGATTACCAATAAATGCTATGCATAACAGTGTTAGTTTTCCAAACTAGCTTTGAAAAAAAATAAGTGCTATTGATGCACCTTATTCCTAACCTGGGTTTCTTTCATGTGACTTTTTTTCTTCTCTCTTCTACTCTTTCTGTCCAGGGCTTAGTCCTTGCGGGATTAGCTGACATGACCAGGCCAGCAGAAAAGCTTAGCTTAGCTCAGTCAGGAGTGCTTTGTGCAACAGGTAACATTTTACATTTTTTCGGTATTCAATTTGCACTTAATTTTGTTCTTCCACCTCTTCCGCTCACCAGTTTATGCAAAGCCTACAGGTGGGCATGTGACCTTTCCCACTTACTAGTATGAAGCAGTATGAGTTTTCAGAACAATATTTCTATCGCCTTTTCTGAAGAGTTCTTCCCATAGTAACTGACTCTCTTCAGAAACACCATAAAATTGGAGGTGAAATCTGTGTCACGTCGATGTTGATGATGATACTGCATGTTAGTACTCCAATGTATTGAGTCATGGCAGACTCCACTGTCTAGTATGTTTTTGTTCAAAAATTGAATGTTTAGGATGAAGAGTACATTATGCTCAAGATCCAATTTTATTGCAAAATGGCATTTTTGCTTCAGAAGTGACTAAGAAGGTGTAATTATAAAGCAACTAATTCAATTCTTGGGTAGTGATTGCTAAATGTGACGTGACACCAAATCTCAATCCTCAGCTACAATTTCCCCTGAATTTTGCATCAACAGTTCATTTCCATTAGATACAAAAGTCTGGGACACAGATAGCTGTAACACTGCTGCCAGTTGCAGCCCCATTTCAATGCTCTAATTTTTTGCTGTCTGTGCAGATATTCTATGATGAATGCTGCAGAGAGGAAAATAGTATATCCAGATAACCACTTTCTTTTGTTGAAGTGGGAGGAAAGGAAAGAAGAAAGTGGAAGAATTTAGTGGAGTTTAATGCTGTTCTTTCTTCACCTGATCTTTTTAGTATCACAATTCATCTGCATTCAAACTGCATCAGCTAGTAGGGCACAGACTGCAGAAAGATTGGGTTAAGATTTTTGAAAATGTATACCATGTATCCAAAAAATTAGTAATCCCAAATTATTGTCATGTGTAATGCAGACCAATCAACTGGCATGTTTTATTTCAGTCCAACTCTCGAGACCTTGCTAAATGATCATGTGTAACATTGACTAATCAATCAACTGGCATGTTTTAACCAGCAGACCTTCGACTGACAAGTCTTGGATTGTAAAGAAAATTGTGTACATGGTATGCAGGGTGTGTCAGTTGTTTCTTACAGATAGATTTTTTGTTTGCGTAATATATGTGAGTAATATATGCTCAATTTTGCATTAACCCAATCTCTGATCATTGATAACAACAACAACATGATTCCATTTATAGAGCGCCTTTCACGTCGGGAGGACGTCTCAAGGCGCTGCACAGTTGGGTCAGGACACAGCTATCTGTGTCCCAGACTTTTGTATCTAATGGAAATGAACTGTTGATAAATTTGATCAGTGAGGCAAGTCAATATCCAAAGGCCATCAACAACTGGAGACTGGCAAATGGGGTCTTGATTGCCTCTCCCAACTGTATCGTAGTAGATGGGATCGCAATATTGTTCTGTTATTTTGTCTGATATTGGCTTTCATTTTAATTGAATTAAGTCAGTATCCCACAAACAGACATTCCAGTTTCAGATGCGGAACAGATTCCCTACCAAATCAAGTTATTAGTCTCAATTTGCTTCGCCTTGCTTCCTCCCTTTCCTCCTTCAAGGCCGGTCTCAAAACCTTTCTCTTTGACCGTGCCTTCAGCTCCCCTCTCGACTCTCTTCCTCCTCCTCGCTCCCTCCCTTCCCTCCCCTCACCCTGACCATTTCCCCCTCCTCTCTCCCTCCCTTCCCTCCCCTCACCCTGACCATTTCCCCCCTGCTCGGTCATGACCCAACTGTGCAGCGCCTTGGGACGTCCTCCTGACGTGAAAGGCGCTCTATAAATGGAATCTTGTTGTTGTTGTTGTTGTTGTTATTCCTTCAAAAATGAACAGGATAAGGACTTGGTTAGAAAAGCAGTTGAAGGTTTGTAGGGATGAGTAGAGAATGAGGAGGAGAATGTATAGGGGAAGCTAGTCAAAGTTGAAAAGTAGAAATGTGAGAAGGAAAGATAGTGTGTTGCTTTGATTACTTTTAGAGATCAGATGGAATATATTCAGAACTTTCTCTCAGAGCATAAAATAGAAGGGATAACATTCACTTTGGTGTACAATGAAGATGTGAAAGAAACAGGCTTGTTAGGCTGTTGTTCCAATGTTTTCTTTTGTCTTGCGTAGTTTTAATGCTAACTCGATAAAATAAATTAATCGCTTCTCTTGTTTTATAACAATAGGCTTGATTTGGTCCAGATATTCACTTGTGATTATTCCAAAGAACTGGAGTCTGTTTGCTGTGAACTTTTTTGTTGGCTGTGCAGGTGCCACACAACTAACTCGGATCTGGAAGTAAGTGTATTTGAAATTTAGAAAATCACAAATCTCTTATCTAATCAGGAGACTTCTGGGTGGCATTGCAGGGAATGGGGAAAATAGGTACAGTATCCCCACAGTGCCAGTAGCAAATTTAAATTGGTTTTCTTATTAAATGTTTATTAATACATTTTTAGTATACCGTAATTTTTAACATAGCTTTGTGTAACTTTCAAATCAAGGAACCAATAATGAATAATAGGGTCATTTTGAAAGTTCTCTAATATGTGGAATCCTTATTTTAATCAGAAATATTTTAACCAAATTTAAGCATGGTTTATAACAAGACCTAATTATTTCCAGTTACTAAGGACGCTATGAATAGAAAACTTCGGGATCGATTTTGACAGATCTATGAACCATATATGTGTGTGTGTGTATATATATATATATATGTTAGTTATGTAAACCATATGCAAAGAAAAATAGTATAGTTGCCCTTAATAACGTAATTAACAATAAAATGGATGAAAGAATATACATGAAGATGGCCAAAATAATAATCCTTTGATAAGACTTTGAGATGCCCCAAAGCGCTTCACAGAATATACTGTAAGGTGATTTGACTATATTTTGTGGGTGAAAAGCGGCAGCCAATCGCACACAGAAGTGTCCCACAAACAATTGTGGATTAAGTAACCAAATTTTTTTTTGGAGGGATTATTACCCCTGGAAAGCAATCCGCCAATTGACTAACAATCTGGTTCCTACTTACTCCTAGGTAAATCGAGGTATGTGGAGTAAGGAAACTTGTCTAAGGTTTCTCCCTGCCCGAGAATAACTGGGGTGTGGGGGGTGAGAAGTGATGACAGTGATGGGTGGTGGACAAGGAAAGGGACTTTGTTTATTGTGTCAGCCAGCAGAGGGCAAAAGAGGGGGAGTTGAGTGACCAGAAGCTGGGTGGGCATGGGGTTGATGCAAATAATGAAGCATATCTTTGATCAAAGATATTTCGTGTTATAATCCTTACAATTGGTATAGAGACTTTCACGTCGGGAGGATATCCTAAAACGTTTCACGATCATTTATGCTTTATGTCCTCAAATTGTTGATTCTTATCGGTATCTCGGGGTCGTGGTGGACACCAGCTTCAGCCTGGACACTGTCCTGAAAGTATAATGTTTCATTTATATTTGTACAAAAATAATAATTGGCAGCAGGAAGCCCAATTTACACTCCAATCCTTCCCATTGGTTTGGAGCATGGAAAGCAGTGTCTCTGGGCATTACAGGATATTGCCCTGACTCAGATTATGTTAGATCAGTATTCCCCTGAATATCCTGGGAAAGCATTTCGTTGGCACCAAATTATTCTGCTGATCCAAGATGGAAGACCCAGGGCATTTCAACTGGATTTGGATACTACAACAACAACAAGATTCCATTCATAGAGCACCTTTCATGTCGGGAGGACGTCCCAAGGCGCTGGACAGTTGGGTCAGGACATACTACCATTGTTCAGAAGTTGTAGTAGAGAGGAAGGGTATTTCCAAAACGCATTTTAATCACATTCTTTAAGCAATTTTGATTCTAAAGTGTCTATGTAATTTTGAATAAAGGTGCATAAAACCGAGTTAAAGTAATAACCTTGCTCCCTTGTTGTATTGACGTTAAGAATCCATTCAGATTACCTCTGTAAACTTGCTCCCCTTTTTATGTTTTAGGTACCGACAAGAGTTGAAACAAATGGAAAAGTCGAAACAGGAATGAAAATCAACAGCCTATAAAAATTCAAAACATCAGTTTGTATTGACTTTTTTTAACGTGCCTTGTTAGTGAATCAAGGTATCGAATAGAAACTTTAACAACTTGATGGTTTTGTAGTGGAGATCGTGTTGCATATAAGACTTATTTGTAAATATGTTCATAATCTCCCAATAAATGTTACAATGGTGCAGCAATGTTTTGTTTAATTTATTGCTAATGATAAGTTTTAACTGTAATTGTCCTGCTTAAAATCCATTATGTTGTGTCTTCACTTACAGCAATAGTGATCCGCAGCAGAATATTTTTGATTTTTTTTCAGTTCTCATACAACTGAATGAGAAAAAATTAAAACTAAACTCCACTAACCAGTTTAGTTTTTAATTATTAACTACTGTATCCCATTGCTTAACCAGTTATTTAGTGGTCATTTATGAGCCATGACCAAATCAATTTGTGATGTCAGCATTTATTCTGCAATGATGGGAATCTATCCTGATGAAACCTCCACATTAAGGGTTGCCACTTAACAGGATCTCAGCAACTAAGTTTCCAATTGTGCATCTGGGACTTGATTTTTATACTGGGTATTATAATCTGGCATCTCTTTGTAACTTCAAAATATTTGCACTATTTACAAATTGCATGTCTTAGTTGTAAGGTACTGATTATTCTGTGATTTGTGTACACAGCAATAAAGAAGGAATTAATTATCTTTGGTTAAAATGTATCCCTTCATTGAAGTGCATGACAATGTTTATATGCTCAAATCTCAATTGTTTTGAGGTCTGGCTAATTAATTCTTTGGAAAATAGATCCTTTAGCCTGTTTCACACCTCGGTCTTTGTTTCCTGTGCCTTTTCAATTCCCTCTACATTCAGTCCACATCCATTGTCTTTCTTGCTCTTACCTGATGTGCTTCAGAGCTCTATCTCCCATTTTAAAAAAACTTCTATCATGCAGCAAAATCTTTTATTATCCACCATAATGATAGAGACCCTGGGCAGTGAAAAATAGACATTGGTTGCCATTCACGTCAGATTCCAAATGACAACGCAATCGCGATTGGGAATTTAAAAATTAGTAAATTATTTGCTGTCAGTTTTGACATGCAACGTGAAGTCTTTTGAGTAGTGTAGTGAGATTTTTAACATCCACCTGAACAGTCAGACAAGACCTCAAATTAACATTTCATCTGAAGTGTAGCATCTCCAGCATTGCCTTGGAGTATCAACCAAGTTCAATGTCTCCAATGTGGGGCCTTAAATCCATGACTTAAATCTGACCCACAGGCAAAATTGCTGCCAACTCAGCAAGCCTGATGCCTTTTTATAGCGTTATCCACTTTGAAGCAGCTCTCAGATAATTGTCAAATTAAGTGATTGTATTTGTAAGCAAACATTTGCATTACAACCAATCACAAGATTAGTACAATATAATCTGACGGTGTGTAAGCCAGGACACCGGGAGAAACCGCATTTTCATAGCTTTCATGGGTTTAGTTAACATCCACTTGAACAGGCAGATGAAATTTCATTTTGACATCTTGTTTCAAAAGATAGTACTCAAACTATCCAGCATTTCTTTAGTACTGTTATAATTTCCTGACATGGAGCCCATAAATCTTATGACGCAAACGTGAGAGTGCTGTGAACCAAACCCAATTAACACACATGATTTAATTGAGCTGGAAAAGATCAAGTAAAATGTATTTTTGCTTGCACTAACCAAGAACTGACATCCCTATTAATGGTTGGTTGCCATGGTCTGGGTTAGGAGGAGGAGAAACAACCATAATTGAGCTGGTTTAGTTTACTACATCACCTGCTGCTTTCTGTGGAAATGAAATGTTGACCACTGGAGGGCACCATTTACTGTAGCTGGAAGTGGCAGCTTGGGGGTGATTTAATTCAGCTCCATGAGCATTTGTCAAGTATTCACAGATATTCCAATTTAGTATGGAGCTGGAAACAACTGAGATAAGGATGAAGAGAGAAATATGGGTATAATATCTTATTTTATTTACCAACGAAGGTAGAATGAAAGCAGGACTAATAGAAACTAGAAGAACTGCAAAATGAAAATACAAACCATCTAACAAGCAAAGTGGTTCTCTTCTGATGGAGACATGGAACATTAAATTTCTTTTTCATTTTAGATAGGTAATCAGAGTAGATTATAATGGACGATAATGGCACTGCGAGACAGGGATGTACAGGTTACTGAGAGACAGATGTCCTGGCTAAAATGCCCCAGATGGAGTTGGGAGAGTGCATCCACCTACAGTACAATCCCACAACCGTTGGCTACTGAGCGCTTTGGCAGAACCAGAAGTTGGCCATTTACTTGGAATCTGCCAGAGTTTTTTTTTGCCTGGGTGAAAAGTTCTAAAGGACATGTGGGAATATAAAGTGGATTAAGTTTTTCTTACATTACCATTCTTCCCTGATCCACATCCCCATCCTCCCTGTCAGTCCTCCCCCTCGCCCCGCACATTCTGCCACCAACTGTCCCCTCCGCATCGGCCTACAAAATGTCTGCTCCCTCTCCCAACAAAACACTCACCATCCAAGACCTCATTGTCAATGAAAACATCAATATTCTCGCCCTCACTGGAACCTGGATCACTCCAGGCGACACCTTCCCCCTGATAGAGGCCACACCCGCTACACCTTCCATCATACCCCACAACCAATGGCTCTCATCTCCCGGTCCCTATCCCCTTACTCTTCTGGAACCTTCCCCTGCTTTGAGCACCTTATCCTTGATCATCCCTCCAACATTTTCCTCAAAATTCTTCTTATCTATTGCACCCCCCCAAGCCCTCCCCCACTTTCATCCCCAACATCTCCACCCTCCTATCTTCCCTCTCCCTCTGCTCCGAACGCCTTCTCATCCTCGGCGACTTCAACCTTCACTTCACCCCCACCTACTCTACCTCTGCTGACTTCTCCTCCCTTATCTCCTCCCTCAACCTCTCCCTCCACATCCACTCCCGACACCCACGTCCACGGTCACCCCCTCGAACTGGTGATCACTTGGGGCCTCACTGTCTCGGACCTCACTATCATTGACAAAGTGATCATGGACCATTACTTCATCTCCCTTGACTCCTCAATCCCTCTCCCCACCGCCAAGCAACCCACTCCATCTCCTGCTGCCCCTGGAAAAAGAATCTCCCCTCCTCCTCCCTCTCGGCTGCCTTAGAGTCATCTGAGCTCCTTCCCCTCTGGGCTTTCACCCGCAATGACCTAACCTCCTCGGTCACTCTTCTCCACAGTTCCCACTCCTCCACTCTTGATTCCCTTGCTCCTCTCCCTTCCCAAACTGTCTCCTATTCATGTATGTCACCATGTACACCAGCCACCTCCGTTCCCATAAAGCCACTGAACGCACCTGAGAAATCAAACTTAACAGTTCATCGGCAAATCTGGCTGGATCTTATCAAAACTTACCGCTCCGTCCTCGCCTGCGCTAAATTGTCCTTCTACTCCAAGACAATCTTGGAGGCCAAGGACAACCCCAAGCTCCTCGTCTCCATCACCAACCAGCTCCTCCACCTACCCTCTCACGCCTCGACCATCCTCACCTGTGAGGCGACGCTGGATTTCCTCGAATCCAAAGTCAGCTGCCTCTGCTATTACATCTGCTACACTCTCCCCATCTCCCCCTCCCACCCCGGCCCTTGCCCATCCCTCCCTCCACACCTTCAAACCTGTCTCCCACTCCTCCCACCACCACTATAACCAGCATGAACCGACTACCTGCTCCCGCGACCCCATCCCTACCCCTCTGCTTACTTCCCAGCTCCACCTCTTTCGCCTCTACTCATAGACATCATAAACCTCTCCCTGTCCACTGGTACAGTTCGCACCCCACTAAGAACTGCCATCATCACTCTTATCCTTAAAAACCCCTCCCTGGACCCATCTCTATTCTTTAACTCCACCCCATCTCCAACCTCCCTTTCCTCTTCAATGTCCTGGAAAGAGTTGTTGCTTCCCAGCTTTGCTCCTTCTTCTTCTGCCACTCGCTTGACGAACTCCTCCAATCGGGTTTCCATGCTGCCCACAGCACAGAAAGAGGCCTGGTCAAAGTGACAAATAACATTCTGTCCTTCCGCGATCAGAGCTCCCTCTGCCTCCTCGTCCTCCTTGTCCTCTCTGCTGCCTCCGACACCGTCTATCCTCATCCACTGCCTCTCCTCTCACCTCAACCTTCACGGCTCTGTCCTTGACTGGTTCAGATCGTACCTCTCACACCACCTCCACTTCATCTCCACAAACAGTTTCTCCTCTAGCCCCCGCACCGTCTCATGTGGCGCTGCTCAGGGCTCTGTCCTTGGTCACGTCCTCTTCAATATCTATATGCTCTCTCTCTTGGTGACATCATCTGCAGACATGGGGTCAAATTCCACATGTATGCAGATGACACCCAACTCTATCTCTCTGCCTCCACCCTTGACTCCAGGACCACTGCTGTCCTGACAGAATGTCTGTTGGACATCAAGTCCTGGATGAGAGCTAATTATCTTCAGTTGAATGTCAACAAGACCGAGGCTCTCCTGATTGGCTCCCGTCAGCGCCTACTCAACTCAGGCACTGACAACATCACCATCCATGGATGAACACTCCACCTTACTAAGCCAGTCTGGAACCTTGGCGTCTTGTTTGACCCTCAGCTATCCTTTCTACCCCACATCTACCTCAAGACCTGCTCTGCCTTCCCCCACCTCTGCAGCATCGCCCGGCTCCGCCATCGACTCACACCGTAGGCCGTCAAAACCCTCATACATGCGTTGATTACATCGAGACTTGACTGCAAGCTCCTTGCTTGTCAGCCTCCCTAACTTCTCCCTTCATAGCCTGCAGATCATCCAGAACTCTGCAGTCCATGTCCTCTCCCACACTAGGCTCCATGACCCTATCACCCCCCCCCATCCCACCCGACTCCATTGGCTTCCCATGACACAGAGGATACAGTTCAAGATCCTGGTCTCACCTTCAAAGCCCTCCATGGTTTTGTTCCCCACTACCTCTCCAACCTCCTAACCCCCTACCATCCTGCTCAGTGGGCTCCAGCCTGCTTCACGTCTCCCGCCTCGCTCGCCCCACTATTAGCGGACGGGCCTTCTGCCACTCTGCCCCCACTCTCTGGAACTCCAACCCGCAGTAACTCCACCTCGTTCCCTCCCTTACCTCCTTCAAGACCCATCTCAAGAATGTCCTCTCCGACTATGCTTTCGATCTCCCTGCTTCCCTCCATGCCCTCCACCCTCCCCGACCCCGATCCCCAGCTCCCATAACAGGGAATACGTGCTGGAAGGCAGTGAGTGCACAACGAACAGTAATCTAGTCACCTCACGGTTACTTCAAATTGCACTCTGAAACTGTAAAGTAACACTGAGACTCGTTTGCACAGCTCTCTCTCTCTTTTGTGATAATGTGATACTTGGCTGGCTCCCAAAGCATGTTGCAATGAAGACCTGCTGTAACAGCAGCCAATACCCTTGATGACGCTTTAATGTGTTATAAGGACAGAAATATGTTTGCACAAGTACATGTAAATTGGATATTATACATTCAAGATAGCATTAAATCACAGTCACAGTTAAGAGGCTTTTCTTGGACGGTGAATTCAAAATGAAACAACCATGCCCAAGAGCTAATTCAATTCTGATTTCTGAGAGTTAGATAGCTCTGAGCTCCAGGCTTTGGAAGTT